CTTCCTCCCTCCCTCCCTATCTCTCTAAAAATAAATAAAATGATTTTTTTTTAATTAGGATTAGTATATTACTCCATAATACCTGAGTGCTTTTTTTAACTTAATCTTGGATGTCTTTGATTCCTATATTGTTCATTTTATTGCAATTATTATAATTTTACAGCTATGCAAAGGAAAGGTCTATAATTAAGCTTCAAAAAAAAACTACCAGTTAAAAAGTATTGTAGCATATTTGCAAAATAATGAAAACTAAAGAAGAAAAAATTGTCTCTGTTAGCACCACTTGATACAATAGGTTACTATTTTGTGGAATACAACAATAATGAATTTGACTTAATACTGAAAACTGTGAGGTACGTTAAATTTCATTAAGCAGAAGAATGACAAGATTAGCATTAGCTAATATGTTGAATGCTTCTATTCTATGCGCGTATTTAACAGTACATCTAGAAAATATTAAATCTTTTCTTCTTCCGTAGGATGACTTCCAGTGTCAGCCATGTATTCCTTCCTATGTGTGCGCCATAATCCTGGCTTGTTGACCTTCATATAGCAAATAGCTACATCTTTGGCACACCTTCAGTTACCGCATAGTAGGCATGTTATTTATTTTATAATTGAATATATTGGGGTAACAATGGTTAGTAACATATAAATTTTAGACATACAGTTCTATAATACATCATCTGAATATGGTGCTGTGTGCTCACCACCCAAAGTCTAGTCCCCGTCCGTGTATTTGACCCTCTGTTTTGTTCATTCTCCATCCAGCTCTCCTTTCCCTCTGGTAACCACTGGATTGTCTCTCTGAGTTTGCTTGTTCATGTGTTGCTTTGCTTGATATCCCACAAATAAGTGAAATCATGGTTCTCCTTTTTTTAGATTTTATTTAGTTTTAGAGTGGGGAGAGGAGGCAGAGAGAGAGGGAAAAAAAACATTGGTATGTGAGAAACATTAATCAGTTACCTCTCACATGCCCCCAACTAGAGACCTGGCCCACAATCCAGGCATGTGCTCTGACCAGGAATCAAACTGGAACCTTCTGGTCCACAGGCTGGTGCTCAGTCCCCTGAGCCACACGAGTCAGGGTAAAATCATATGGTTCTTGTTCTTTTCCATTTGACCTATTTAACTTAGCATGGTACTCTGAAGATCAGTCCATGTTTTCAAAAGCCGTGAAAGAAATTTTGTCTTTTTTTATGGCTGAGTAATATTTTATTGTATTCTATATACATCTTTTATATTCTTTTATTCATTATGCTATTACAGTTGTCCCAGTTTTCTCCCTTTGCCCCCATTGCCTCCAGCAATCCCCTCCCTTAGTTCACATCCATGGGTCATGCATATCTAAGTTCTCTGACTACTCCATTTCCTGTACTGTTCTTACCATCCCCCTGTCTATTCTGTACCTACCAATTTGTACTTCTTAATCCCTGCACCTTTGCCCCCATCCTCCCCCTTCCCCCTCCCAGCTGATAACCCTCCAAATGATCTCCATACCTAGGATTCGGTTTCTGTTCTGCTTGTTTGGTGTTTTTGTTTGGTGTTTTTTAGACTCAGTTGTTGATAGTTGTGCATTTGTTGCTATTTTAATGTTCATAGTTTTGATCTTTTATACAGTTCCCTTTACCAGTTCCAGTAATGATATGGTGGTGATAAGCTCCCTTAGTTTTACCTTGTCTGGGAAGCACTTTATCTGCCCTTCCATTCTCAATGATAGTTTTGCTAGACAGAGTAATCTAGGTTGTAGATCCTTGCTTTTCATCACTTTGAATTTTTTAATATTTTATTTATTTCTTTTTAGAGAGAGGGAAAGGGAAGGAGAAAGAGTGGGAGAGAAATACCAGTGCGTGGTTGCCTCTTATGTGCCCCTTACTGGGGACCCGGCCTGCAACCCAGGCATGTGCCCTGACTGGGAATCAAACCTGCGACCCTTTGTTTCACAGGCCCGTGCTCAATCCACTGAGCTACACCAGCCAGGGCTGAATACTTCTTGACAGTCCTTTCTAGCCTACAAAGTATCTTTTAGAAATCTGCTGACAGTCTTTTGGGAACTGCTTTGTAGGTAACTCTCTTTTTCTCTTGCTGCTTTTAAGATTGTCTCTTTAGTTTTTGCCATTTTAATTATGATGTGTCTTGGTGTGGCCTTTTTGGGGTTCAACTTTTTTGGGATTCTGTGCTTCCTGGACTTGTATGTCTATTTTCTTCACCAAATTAAGGAAGTTTTCTTTCATTATTTTTTCAAGTAAGTTTTCAATGTCTTGCTCTTCCTCTTCTTCTGGCATCCCTATGATTTGGATGTTGGTAAGTTTGGAGATTTCCCAGAGGCTTCTTATTCTATTCTTAGGGGGTTTTAAATTCTTTTTTCTTCTTGCTGTTCTGATTGAATGCTGTTTTCTTCCTTATATTCCAAATCATGGATTTAAAGCTCGGCTTCATCTTCTCCACTGTTGATTCCCTGTGGATTTTTCTTTATTTCACTTCATGCAACCTTCATTTCTGCATGGGTCTTTTTTATGCTATTGTAGTACTAATGATTTCTGTGAGCATCCTGATAACCAGTGTTTTGAACTCTGCATCTGATAGGTTGCTGATCTCCATTTCATTTCATTCTTTTTCTGTCCCTTCGTTGGGCCATATTTCTTCTCCTCAATTTAGCAGCCTCCTTTTATTTGCTTCTGTGTACTCTGTAGAGCTGCTTTGACTTCTTGTCTTACTATTGTGGCCCATTGTAGAAAAGGCACCCATATGGATTAAATGTGGCTTCTTTAAATCCTTGATTGTCTGACTTCCATACAGCTTGATTTTCTGATGAGTCTGGGTGAAATATATCCTGTAGTCTAGTTGTAATTTTTGCTGTAGCTGTGCAGAGAGGCATAGTGTGTTTACCTACACCCCCATCTTGGCCAGAAGTTTGTACCTCTTTACCCAGTCATCAGTCTGAAAGCACTTAGATTGTTTTCATATGTTGGTTATTGTGACTAACACTGCAGTAAACACGAGGGTACATAGAAAGTGTAGCAAAAGTAGATTTACAGTTCATATGGAAAATAATACAATAATAATACAAGAGTAAACTTTTGCCTACTCACAACTATAAACCTACTTTTGCCCCACTCTGTCAGGAAAAAGTCCAGCCATTGTTAATACAATGAGAAGAGCTTGCATCACATCAGTGTAACCTGGCAGCCAAGGAGAGTGGACTGGAATGTGCATGTATGAACACCGATGACTTCAATAGTCAGTGGGGGCGGTAGATGCCATTGAGTGACACTGTACTGTGTGCCTGTTGCATTCAAAATGACTGAGTAGAGCAATGAATGCATCAAATTTTGTATGAAGCTTGAACATTCCTCCACAGAAACTATTTGGTTGATTCAGGAGGCTGCAGCTGTGGGCAACTGGTGATTGGCAGCTTCATCACAACATGCCCACTCACACATCAAGTCTTGTGCAGAGACTTTGGTAAAACATCAAATCACTCAGGTGACTCAGTCCCTCTACAGCCCAGATTTGGTGCCCTATGACTTCTGGCTTTTCCCAAAACTAAAATCACCTTTGAAAGGGAAGAGAGTTCCAACTTTTCATGAGATCCAGAATAATATAATGGGGCAGCCGGTGATAAATATGACTGGGAGAACTGTGTGAGATCCCAAGGTGCCTGCTTTGAAGGGGACTGGGGTGCCATTGTCCTGTGTACAATATTTCTCATACCTTCAATAATGTCTCTATTTTCCATAGTACATGGCTGGATACCTTCTGGACAGACCTCTTATCATGAATAAGGTTTCAAATTTTTCGGTAGATAGCATACTCAGAAGAGGGACTGCTGCTGGATAAGGCAGTAACTATATTCTTAACTCTGAGGAACCTTCAGGCTGCACCAATTTATATTCCCACCAACAGTGTACAAGTGTTTCCTTCCCATCCTTTCCAATACTTGTTATTTCTCATCATTGATGAAAGCTGTTCTTAAGAGGTGTGAGGTGGTATCTATCTCGTGGTTTTGATTTGCGTTTTCCTTATAGCTCATGATGTCGATCCTCTATTTATATATCTGTTGGCCATGTGTGTATCTTCTTGGGGAAAGTGTTCAGGACCCTGCCCCTTATTTAACTGGGTTGTTTGTGGGGGGTTTTGTTGTTGAGTTGTGTAAGTTCTCTATGTATTTTGGGTACTATAAAGATATTACTGGAGGTACCTCTGCACTGAACTCTTAAAAATGAACCCCGGCTGTTGTGGCTCAGTGGACTCATTGCTGGCCTACAAACCAAAAGTCTGCCAGTTCTATTCCCAGTCAGGGCACATGCCTGGGTTTCAGGCCAGGTCCCCAGCTGGGGACATGCAAGAGGCAACTGATCAATGTATCTGTCACACATCACTGTTTTGCTCCCTCACTTTCTCCTTCCCTCCCCCTTTCCAAAAATAAACAAATAAACTTTAAAATATATTTATAAAATAATTGAGATGGTAAATTTTATGTTAAAAAATAACTTAGTAATTAAAATGAGGTCAAAATATAAAAGTGATTTAGAACTCTTCACCACCTGATTATTGTGAATGACTATATGTACAGATGTTCAGATAGATAATACATAGACTGATATCTGTGATGACATACAGTTTATGTAGAGAGAGAGAGATAAGAACACAGCAAATTGAAGCAACCCTTTCAAAAGCAGCTGTGTTGAGAGGTGTTGATAGGACTCACCCACAGGAATTGTGAAATTGCAGTCATTGCTTCCTCTCTTATTCTCTCTCTCTGTTTTGCCTAGCATGTTGATTTAACTGATCTGACTTTACCACTCATCTCTGTGTTTGTTTTTCTGGGTTTGACTCCTACAGTCAGTCAGACCCGCTCTGTCTGAGTCTTAACCTCCTTAAAGGTTTACACTATGGCTAGATCTTCCACTCTTGCCTTCTGCTATTGCACCAGCCACCTGACGTCCGACCCACAGATTTCCTTACCTTCCCAGAGGCAGGGCAGCAGCATGGTTTAGAGCATGGGCTACGCAGTGAGACGGCTCAAGTACAAAATCACTATTTCCACCACTTGGGCCAGTTAATTCATCGCTCAAGGCCTCAATTCCTTATCTGCAGAACGGGGGGAAGCATTGATTACATAAGATTACTGAGACTAAATGAAATAATGGGTGTTTCTTGCTCATGCCCCACGTGATGTCCTTTACTGCACACCTCAGACAGTGGCGGCAGCCATGCAGCTGACCCACCGGGCTGGGCTGCTGGTGTCTTCCTTCAAACTTATTTTACCTTTGGGCCTGAACTGTTGCACCTAAGGATAATAAAGTCAGCATTTCACTTGCAAAATGCAGGGCTTGTAAAATTATTTCTATTGCATTAAAAAAGAATATAGCATTAAATTTATTATCCTAGCTATTTGTAAACATAGGGCCCAGTAGTGTTAAGTATATTCACACTGTCATTCAACAGATCTCTAGAACTTTTTCATCTTGCAAAACTGCAGCTCTGTCCCTGTTAACCACTGACTTCCACTTCCCCCAGCCCTTGGCAACCACTTTTCTACTTTCTGTTTCTGTGATTTTTGACTCCTTTAGATACTTCATAGAAGTGGAATCCTATAGCAGTTTTCCTTTTGTGACGGGCTTATTTTACTTAGCATACTGTGCTGGAGGTTCATTCCTGTTGTAGAACGTGACCAGGATTTTCTTTTTTAGGCTAAGTGGTAATTCTTTGTATTTATATACCCCATTTCTTTATCCATTCATAGGTTGATGGACATTTGAGTTGCTTCCACCTCTTCCCTATTGCGATGCTGCATAGGTGTTTTCTTTTTTCACCTGTGTGTTTTCTCTGCAGTCCACAATACTTGGAGCATAGCAAGTCTTAATACTTGTTTTATAAGTGAATATATGGATGAGTGATTTCTGTATTTAGAATACCCAAATCTTTTAAAAACAATAGAATTGTTCTATGCCTTTCACATTTAGACTTTTGTTGCTGCTTTATATTTTAGCACAAAAATCTGTAATAAATATCGTATACTAATTGTTCTATCCGATGTGTCTTGTTTTATGGTAAGCACTTAGACACATTAACTTTTCATTCCAGTCCTATAAGGCAAGTATTATTACCATCATCATGCCCAATTTACAGAAGAGACTGAGACTTAAGGGAAGTTCATTGATTTGCCCAAAGTCAGGAAACTAGGAGACTAAGTACCCAGCCAGCCCCGAAGACTAACATTGGGTACCTAAGGTAGCAGCATTGTTTCAGGAGACCAGCCGGCTACTTCACGGCAGACTGACTACATCGAACCTGTAAATCCTGGAAGGGCCACAAGTTTGTACTCAGGGGAATTAGCCCATGTACTGGGGATGGTTTTGCCCTCCCTGCTGGCAGGGCCCGAAGCAGCACCACGATGGGGGTTTACAGAGCGGTCCATCCGCCAGCACAGGATCCCAAAGGACATCACAGCAGCTAAGAGCTCACTTCACAGGAAGTAGGTAAGAGAGAGGGCCTGTGACAAGAAGCCAGTTGTGGGGCACGCCACCGGAGAAGACGAAAACATAGGCCCACGGACAACACAAAACAGGTACCGCAAAACTAGTCTTCTTTGGAATTTATCTGACATCTCTTGATGTTGAAAATAGGTTTCAGGAAATGGGATCAATAGGAACACATATTTTATTAATAATTGTGTTCATAATAAGCCCTTGTCCAATATCCACAGCCTATGAAAATGTAAAAATTAGCCCTGGCTGGTGTAGCTCAGTGGATTGAGCGCGGGCCTGCGAACCACACGATCGCGGTTCGATTCCCAGTCAGGGCACATGCCTGGGTTGCAGGCCGGTTCCCTGCAGGCCAGTTCCCAGCAGGGGACGCACAAAAGGCAACCATACATTGATGTTTCTCTCCCTCTCTCCTTCCCCCACTTCCCCTCTAAAGATAAATAAATAATAAAATATTTAAAAAAAAAAAAAAAAAGAAAATGTAAAAATTAAAACTAAAAGCAAGACAAACAAAATGGACCCAACAATAATCTCAATTGTCCTAGCACAAAAATCAGCATCACCCATGAGGAAATCCTTCTCGTAGTCATTGAGTGTCTTGGCCAAAAGGAAGAACCAAGAAGGAAAAATACCCCACATTCAAGACAGGCAGCACACACTACCCAGTATCCCTGGGACAAGGGCCTAACTCATTCAGGGAAATGGCCCTAGAATGTTACGACTCAGGGGTAAATGGCCAAGTCATTAAAAGGCTACAGTTTGGCCCTGGCTGGTGTGGCTCGGTGGATTGAGTGTTGGCCTGCAAACCAAAGGGTGGCTGGTTCAATTCCTGGTTGGAGCACACGTCTGGGTTGCAGGCTGGGTCCCTGGTTGGGGGCGTGCAGAAGGCCACCAGTCAATGTTTCTTGCATCGATGTTTCCCTCTCTCCCTCTCCCACCTCTCTCTAAAATTAAATATAAAATTAAAACAAACAGAGGCTACAGGGTGACTGAAAATAGTGTGGCAGCTTGCCAGCTTTGTCTAAACTTCGTTCCAAGAGTATCCCCCTTTAGGAATGTTTGAGGAACCAGGGTTTTTTCTCATGGATTCCCTTGCTGTCAAATAAGATACAAGATTTTGACAAGTGCTCATAATCTAACTTGTCTGAAAGGTTCTTTTCAGACTGGAGCCCAGCCACACAGTCTGGGACACTTAAGTAGTGAGATTCTGTTTTGCCATATTCTAAATCTCTTTCCAAAAATGTACTCCAAGTTCAGTGAGCTGTGTGCAGAAATGTCCCGACAATGTGACTCCCTGTGAAACCCCGAGTTGAAAATAATCCTATCCTTACTTGAAGATCTAATGGACCACGAGCTGAGTCTTCCGTGGATTACCTGTGAAGCTGCAGTTTACACACTGCTTTCCAGAATCAGAGTCTCTTTTGTAGACCCAATTTTTAAATGAAGTTTGCCAAGAAAAGAGTTGAGCACTACTTAATCTAATACTGTAAATTTAACCTGTTGTTTATTGGCTTTTATCAACCATTGTTGTGCCAGACATTTGTGTAAATGGCATCTGCTTGCTCTTGCATGAAACACTGTAGCCCTGGCGAAGGATGAACTGACCAGAGACCCTGCAGACTAAACAGGGACACTGGACCAGAGCTGATGTAATCCTAAGAAAAGTGAACATAACCCTGACAATGAAAGCAAACTGTTTCTAAGTCTGATGGTGAGAAGTAGAAAGGAGAATTTGCCAGCTCAGTAACTGCATAGGCAACTATGGGCTGTATTCATTTACTCCAGTAAAGAACCATTGGAAACAGCTGAACTTACCCCAGTGACCCTGACTACTGATTTCTGACTCTGCCACCCAGAACTTCAGAATGCATTTGTGTTGCTTTAAGCCACCAAGTTTGTGGCAATTTGTGATAGCAGCTGCATGAAACTGATAAGAATTATGTTGAAAGAAAAGGAATTGAGCTGTCCTGGAGTATAATGAACCATTTTCCAAGGTCATCTTACCTGCTTCAAAATGGGAGACTTTAACTTCTTAAGGACCATGTTCATTAAAATCAGTTATTACCATACTAGGGTGGGAGCTTTAATTTTAACGTTTGTAATCTGAAGCAAGAAAGTAAACAGCCAAGGGAGGAAGAGGACCTGCACCTCCAACTCTTTCTTATTTGTTCATTTAGAACGCTGGGTTGCATCAAGTGATAATGCCATGCCTGAAAAAACTTCCATTTTTTCAGATTCCTATTAGACAGTACTGAATATTCCCAAATGAATCTATTTTCACAACAAATTTACAGATATAAGTAGTACCTCAAATCAAGAATTCACAAACTCAGGCTATAGATGGATTTTCCTGTATGAAATAGAGTTGACAGACACAGAAGGAAAATTTAAGAAAAATCTCAGTGATATTCAGAAAAGAAGACAATTAAAATATCCAGGATAAAAGAGTTTTGGTGGAAAACAGAATGAGATATTGAGGACAGAAATGAAAACAACCAAGAAAATGAACTGAAACAAGGACAGAGGCAAAAGCAGTCAGAAAAAGTAACTGGTAGACAATAAGCAAAAGTGATCCATCATCTGCACCAGGGGTGTCAAACTGACCTTCACCGGGAGGCCACGTCAGCCTCTCAGTTGCTTTCAAAGGGCCGAATGTAGTTTCAACTCCTCAACAGCTAAGGAGCAGTTACATTTATACAGTCCTAAAATTGTTCCGGCCCTTTGAAGGCAACTTCGAGGCCGACGTGGTCCCCAATGAAAATGAGTTTGACAGCCCTGCTCTACACAACTGGAGTTCCTGAGAAACAGCAAAAGAGAATAGAATAAATATTTAAAATCCCGAAATACTGTCCAGAAAGAAAATTGACCTAATTCAACATACTGAAAAGGCACACCATATTCCTGAAAAATTATTCTGGAATAATTCTTAGACATATATCCTAGTAAAACTATTAGACTTTAAAGGTAGTGTGGGAAAATCATCTGGGCCTAGAGGGAAACAGATCAATGACATAAATAAAAGAAAAGCAGGAGGGCATTAGTCTTCTTTTTTTTTTTAAGTTTTCTCTTTTTTTTTTTTTTTAGTTATTTTTCAAGTACAGTTTTCTGCCTGTTTCCCCCATCCCAGCCCACCCCGCCCCGTGCTCCCCAGACATTCGTCTTCTTGAGAACAATATATAAATCAAGGCAAATAAGTAAATCATAAACTAAATCAATGACATTGAAAATAGGCAACCAGCCCTGGCTGGTGTAGCTCAGTGGATTGAGCGCGGGCCTGCAAACCAAAGGATCGCAGTTTGATTCCCAGTCAGGGCACATGCTTGGGCTGCAGGCCAGTTCCCAGCAGGGGATGCACAAGAGGCAACCATACATTGATGTTTCTCTCCCTCTCTTCTTCCCTTCCCCTCTAAAGATAAAGAAAATCTTAGAAAAAATTTTTAAGAAAAGAGGAAAAGAATAGAAATAAACCAAAACCAAAAGCTGGCTCTTTGAAAAGGTTACACTACTAGCCAAGCTAACCAAGAGAGAAGACAAAAATTTACCATTGCTAGAAATAAAAGTGGAGAAACCCAACAAATACTACCTCAGCCAGGTGGTGAAGGT